AGTTTTCTCGAATGAAATGACACTTCGATTGGACGCAAGGGCCTACCTTGCTTAACTCGACTAAAACTATTTGACTCGTTTTGCACCATACAAATTGGGGGGAAATGGCAGCAAGGAAAAATACTAGTATAACTAAATCAGAGATCACAGTAAGGTAGTTCATTCTTTAATTGCAACCTGAAGTTGACAAAGGCTCTGTCTTCCTATTGCAACCCTAATTAGCACAATCCCTTATGCAACAGGGCAACAGATAACAAAACCCCGACACTTGAACAAAGAGGAGAAATCATCGTCCAAACCAAAGCACCGCTTTCACTTCAGACGAGGGGGAAAAAAATGGTTTCTGATGAAAACAAAGAAGACGACATCAAGATCCATCAACCAAGAGTGAACAATGAAATTTGAGCACATAATTGTAAACAACAAATGAGGTCAAGAAACAGTCAAGATGAGGATGAGCCCTGTACACAAGCAGACAATGCTAATCAAGATCAATTCAATCCAATCAAGACAATACTAAAGATATTAGACAAAACAACGAATGAGATCGAAAAAACAAAACGGATCAGGACGAGTGACATATACATGGAATCAATACAAATTCAGACCACTTCACTCCAATCCAAAGAGTTGGAATTGCATCCCATCATAGTAAGCAAAGAGGGGGGCAATCAGTATATGATAGATCGATCAACCTCCAGTGTGCTTGAGCTCCATATAGGGTGGTCACATGAGAGAGATCAATTTAATCTCCCTTAGTTCGAACCACTACTCTACTCCTTTTTGCGTCCATTGCCCACTCTTGCTCCCGCGAACAATACAGTACTGCATACCGAGCCGCCAACTGGATCCCTCCTCCCGCCTTCCACATTGCCCAGACACCCGGTGATGCATATTATCACCATCTGTAGAGGTGACGTGAGCAGTGTGAAAGTACATGAGCGACATGGGGAAAGTTACACAAAGAAGATATTACCTCTCCAATCACCTTTGCTGCTTGCCCCACTGTCAAGTTTTTCGTTGATGCTAAAGACTCTGTTGATAAATTTGTTCCCGTGATGGACGTTATCGTTGTTGAGATGGGTGATATGTTCGATATAAAACTGTGATGGGCAACGGTCCACCCATCTTTACTGTCGAAGTTGCTGTAATTGTTGATGTGTCAAGTCAAGTCATCACTAATGCGACGACCGTTATCGATGATGCAGAGTCCCTCGAAGACGAGGTGAGAGGTTTGGAGACTGAACTATTCTCAATCACCAACCTCTACTTCAGCGCGTCACAATACTTTACACCCCGATCAAAAATCATGTTGCAATCAAATATCAGAGCCTCCGCCTGTCGTCAATCAATGAAAGCCTCCAGTTATGGATCCGCGTCGATCTACGAGAGGAGAGTGAAAGTTGCTGACACTTGTCCTCCAGCGATACTACCAGGGCACCCCCCCCCCAAGCTGCCACCGACGAGGCCTGAGCAACGGATGCGAAGACCCCGACAATCTTATGCATATGCCTTTGTGTGTCTTTCAGTGCGGTCAACCACACGTTGACCTGTTGTTGGAAATCCTCTGCGGAGGTCATCGCCTCCAGGACCATCACGCATATCTTGCCCTGAAGAGCTGCCGTGATGACTCACAGGACTTTATCGTCGTCGTTCCTTCACTGTGTAGGGACGCCTTCCATCCATTAACTGTCGGATACTCCAGTACCGTACGTGTTGCCTCTCCTCCACTCTCTTGCCACCCTACCTTCCTCGCTGACCTACCTCTCTCCTTGGCGATGTCGTCAACGTCTTCGCCCCCCTCGGCACTACCGAGGGCTGGGGTTCCCTAGACCACCGAGCCCGCCGACCGATAAGTTTTCCACACGCTCGCACTTCCCAATTCTTCAGGAGTTCCCCAAAGGATTGCATTACACTGAATGGGTGTGCGTGTATGTGTAGGTGCGCATGCGCTCCATCTGCCCCTGTAGTGCAGGTAGAATTTGACGACGAGCATTGGTCCAAAATCGACAGTGATCATGTGCAGGCTCGGAGGGCCAAGGCCTGTGCTTCAACCCAAGTTGAGAACGACGCCTGCTGCCTGTCTGGGCTGGAAAAGAGGCTCCAGGCCTGTGCCCTAGAGTTGGGCTGGATATCAGGACCAGTATGGATCCAGTTTTATAACACCTCGAATGGTTGTAGTGGTTACGTTACTTCGTTCCTGTGCAGGAGGGTGCCAGTTCGAGGCCGTCCGTGTACGGCAGGGCATGATGCCCTAAGCACACGTTGCTCAGTAATCACTATGAGGCGCCCGTGAAACCTGCGGGAAGTTGGCGCGCTGTGTGTGACCAGGCTAAGTAGTGGTGGTGGACTGCGTGTTGTCGGAACGGACTGTGCGTGGATTGTCGAGCCCGCGGTGTGGTGTGTGTGTGTGTGGTGAGTTCAAGGACACCACAACCCTGGAGGTGGCTGGATATCACGGCCGATATGGATCCAATTTTGATAATACTTCCAACAGTTGTAGTGGTTACGACACTTCGTTCCTGTGGAGGACAGTGCCGGTTCGAGGCACGACATGATGCCTTTAACACACGTTCAAGTTGTTCAAGTTGCTCAGTAATCGCTGTGTGAGTGTGTGTATGTGCCCCCGTTCTGCAGATATAATTTGATTGACTTACCGTGAGGGCACGGGTGCGCAGCCCGTAGTTTGTTTTGTTTTGGCTGTGACGAGGCCCTGTGTGTGTGTATGTGTGTGTGTGTGTGTGTGTGTGTGTGTGCGTGTGTGTG